TGTGTCTCAATGACTCAGCTCACTCTCTGATTCGCCCATGCCACCTACGTTGCAGCTCACACTTCTTCCTGCGACGCTTCCTAGAATCAAGCCAACATTCGTCTACTTGATTCCTTGTCAGAGGCTGCTCCGATATGCCCTCCTCCTCCTGATTAGTCTAAGGCTGTCCCTCTCGGTTATCTGCTGAAACCTGAGGCATTATCAGGGAGGAAGGCATTGCTGAAGAGGAAGGTCCTGGGGAGGAAGGCATTCCCAATTCCTCCTCCTCATCTTCTGAGTCCTCTTCCTCTAACAACGCAGGCTCAGGAATCGGAGCCACAACATATATATATATATATATACATACACACACACAACAATGTAAAACTAAATATTATTGTTTATAATCTATGATAGTCTGTAACCCTCTTAATTTTCTAATCTAATTTAATCCTTTTAATAAATTAATTAAGTATAATTCTAAATATAATAGCTTATATAGTAAACATATATAATTCAATAAATATAGATAAATATGTGTTTGATTGTTTTCTTTTCTTATATACTATATCTTATAACTTTCTTATAGTTCAATTAAGTCTATGAATCAATATATAGCCATTAATTAGTTGTACATCAATTGATTAATTAGTTGTTATCCAAGGTATCAAATTGTGGAAAGATATAAAGAATATATAGGGTATAACAGTTATAAAGAATGTAGCAATCTATGAAATAGGATACATAAATTAATTCTTCTTGCAAGCAATCAGCTATTTTTATACTGTATATATTGATTTAGATTTTTTTTCAATATACACTTTTGAATTTAATACTTAGAAATTATTCAGCTTTCTTCTTTCTTCTTCTTTTCCCTTTCTTCTGCACACCGTCACATTACTTTCCTCATTTCCTGTTTCCTCAGTCCTCTTTAACTACTTAGTCACTTTCACTCTCAAATTGCACAGTCACAGCTTTCTATCAAAATGGTTCCACTCTCCGTTCAACTACAGTTCTCCATTAAAGTTCCAATTGTTCTCTTTAATGTCTCTTTTCTGCTCTACCAGTAATCAATCCAAATCATAGAAATTTTGAGTTTTTATTCACAGTCTTGATCTTTTCTTCTGTGGTACTCTCTCTCAGCTGTTAAACTGTTGTTTCCTCCTCTCCCTTTCGCTCTGCTATCCCCCGCCAATTAGCCGCTGTATTCACTCTCTCCGGAGGCTCCCTTTGTCAAAGTCTTTCACAGGGCTCTCTCACCTTTCAAAAACTGTCCCAGTCTGCCGTTCTCCTTCTGATGTCTTGCATTGATTCACTTTCCTGCTTCCCGATTGCAGCTGGCTGTCACAGCTTTGGACTCGCCATAGATGCCGGGTTTCTTTTGCGCCGGATTCAAAAGGCTTCCCCTCATTGCAGTGGGAGGTTGCTTTCCTCCCCTCTGCTCCTAGGCTTCCACTTCTAACTTGTGTGTCTCTCCAAGCTTCACGATGCCTCTGAGAGCTTCTAAGCATGAAAATTCATATACAGGATTGCAGAGCTCGCTCTCCTGCTCCGCTGTGACCTCACCACCGGAAGTCCAAGACTGGAATTTTTAATGGCCTTAGTTGGATCCCCAATCCTCCAACTAAAGTTGGGCTTATTAGGCTCCTCGGGCACACTAAGTCCAACAATGCATTTAATTTTCTCCCTATTAGTGGGATTAATAGTTCTATGGGGATTGTAAGGGGTTCCACAGTCCCAGTTACTAAAGGGTCTTCATAGTCACTCTCTGAATGATCAGGCTCTTCTGTAGGAGGGGTTGGAGTTCCAAGGCAACTCTAGCAGGATCTGCATGACCACATAGCTTTTAAAAGCAGAGTCCCTGGGACGTGGTGGTGGCTTTGTGGACCTCCCCACAGCTTGCTTCTCTCATTTTCAGGCAGGGATCTTTGCATGACAATCAGTTGCATGGTAGCCTTCTTTTCTGTAGTTGAAGCAGGCTGTTGGGCGCAGCAGGGCAGAGCAAGGTTTAGCCATCTCCCTTCTCCGTTTGGGTGGGGATCTCCTCCAGGTGCGATTTGTGTGGTATTGGTTCTGGGCTTGGTCGATTTCAGCTTCCTCAGCCAAAACATACCAGTCATGCAGGCTCCACGGGCTATGCAGGAATTGTACAGGTTGTTGTTAAGCTCACCTTGAACCAGTTCACTAGTATTTCCTTCAGCTAATCAACGCAGCAGGTCAATGCAGCATCCTTGCCTGATGTACCTGATGCAGCCTTTTGGTCAGCTTGCGGGTCCTCAAATCTCCATCTCAGGGCTATCATAAAGCAGTTAAAGTTTTGGAGCTCTGTGGCATCTGCATTGTGGAGGGTTGCCATCCAACATGCAGCTGCCCCTTCTAGGTCCAAGGTGATGACCCCAACTTTGGCTATTTCCGTGTGGAGGTCCCTGCATGTAGGTTAGCATGTGCATGAGGAAAAATCCCAGTTGTTGTGGTCCCTGTCAAATGTGATGCCCAGGGGAGGTGCCTTTCATTCTAAAGGGGGAAGCCTCCTCCTGCTGAGCTCTGCCCCATGCCAGGGTCCCTCTGGGGATGGATTTTCCAGGGTGACAGTGGGCTCATCAGTGGAAATGTACAAAAAGCACTGGGTAAAGCCAGAGAGTCGCAAAAGAAACAAGCCGATCAGAGGAGAGTCCTCCAGAGGGAATTCAGAAACGGAGAAAGTATATTTATCTACTAAATACTTAAAGTTGAGGCAACAGTGTAAGAATCTTGGTCCCAAGTACCTAGGGCCTTTCCCAATCATTTGGATCATAAACCCAGTCACAGTGAGTTACAGTTGCCAAAGGTGCTAAGGCGAGTCCACCCAGTGTTTGTAGCTTATTAAAACACTTTCAAGGCTCTAAGTTAAGGACTAGGGGTGATATAGCAGTATTCCAGTATTTGAGAAGCTGCCACAAAGAAGAGGGAGGACAACTTATTTTCCAAAGCACCAGAAGGCGACAATGAATGGAAATTAATCAAGGAAAGAACCAATCTAGAATTAAGGAGAGACTTTCTAACAGGGAGGACAATTAACCAGTGGAACAGCTTGCCTTTAAAAGTTGTAGGTGTTCTATCACTGGAGGTTTTTAAAGAAAAGACAGAACTACCACCTATCTGAAATTGTATAGGATCTCCTGCTTGAGCTTGGGGTTGGACTAGAAGACCTCCAAGGTCCCTTCTAACTCTACTCTGATTGATTGATTGATTGATTGATTGATTGGATGAATGAATGAATGAATGAATATCATGTGAAGTATAACAACCGTTTTAGAAAGCCTTAGTAAGACCAGACCTATAATACTGCATCCAGTTTTGGTCATCACATTACAAGAAACATGTTGGGACTTTACATAACTTTGAAACAATGATTAAGCATAATTTGATAGGATAAGGAGGAAATTTATTGCAATATAACAATGTTATATTCCAATATAGCCCTACATCTCATGAGCATCTCCTTGACATTCAGAGGCAGGAAGAATTGTTAAGTCCTCAATAAGGGACAAAGTGTGGAGTTCTTCATAATGGTTCTAAGAAACTTGTCTATTTGTATAATGAATGGTGGGGGGAAATGCAGGTAACACAAATACTCATTTCAAGGATTCCCCGCCCCCCATTTCATGTATTAAATATCTATATTTAAACTAAAGTAATAGAGGTGGAACAATTTCATTCCTCATTCCTCTTCGACAAAGTGACAACATTAGTAGACCGGAGGAATGCTGTGGATATAATTTACTTGGACTTCAGTAAGGCATTTCATAAAATAGACCACAACCTATTACTTGATAAGATAGAAAAATGTGGGGTAGACAGCATCACCAGATGGATTCGTAACTGGCTGACCAACTGCACTCAACATGTAGTCCTCAATGGAACTGCATCTATATGGAAGGAAGTATGCAGTGGGGTACTCCAATGCTCTGTTTTAGGCCCAGTACTCTTCAAAATGTTCATTAATGATTTGTATGAGGGGATAGATGGGAAACTCATCAAATTTGCATATGATACCAAGCTGGCAGGAATAGCCAATGCTCCAGAAGATAGGCTTAAGATACAGAAGGATCTTGACAGATTTGAACTTTGGGTGCTATCTAACAAAAATAGATTCAATGGTGAAAAAAGTAAGGTTTTACACTTAGGCAAGAAAAATAAAATTCACAGGTACAGTATATGTGGTACCTCACTCAATAAATGTGAGAGGGATCTTGAAGTCCTAGTGAACAATCATTTAAATATGATATCACACAGTTCTAGACTGCATAAACAGTGGGATAGAATCAAGATCAGTGAAGTGTTTTTATAATGCTTTGGTAAGGCCACACTTGGAATACTGCATCCAGTTTTGGTCGCCATGATGTACAAAAGTTGTTGAGATTCTAGAAAGAGTGCAGAGAAGAGCAACAAAGATGATTAGGGGACTGGAGGCTAAAAATATAAAGAATTGCTGGAATTGTGTTTGTCTAGTTTAATGAAAAGAAGAACTAGGGGTGACATGATAGCAGTGTTCTGATATCTCAGGGACTGCCGCAAAGAAGAGGGAATCAAGCTATTCTCCAAAGCACCTAAGGGTAGGACAAGAAGCAATGGGTAGAAATTAATCAAAGGAGAGAAGCAACTTAGAACTAAAGAGAAAATTCCTGACAGTTAGAATAACTGGTGGAACAACTTGCCTCCAGAAGTTTAAATACTCCAATACTGGAAGTTTTTAAGAAGAGATTGGATAACCATTTGTCTGAAGTGGTGTAGGGTTTCCTGCCTAAGCAAGGGGTTGGACTAGAAGACCTCCAAGGTCTTCCAACTTCCATTCCATTCCAATGTTTTATCCTAAATTCCTTTACAACTATATGCCCATGTAAATGAAACAATTGTCTCTTTTGCCAGAAAATGTATTTTTCTCAGTATCTAAACTCTAGTGACATGATGGTAAATGCATCTGACTTTGATTGTAACATTAATCAATTAAATTGTACAGAACAAAATAAGAAAATTGTCACCTGATAGTGATGATGTCTTCTCAAATTATCTGCTGCACGTCTCTGAAAATGAAAAACAGGTCATAAACTGGCACATATGAGAAGATGTAATGATAAATAGGTCCCATTTTCCTGAAAACTGAGTTTGATCTATGTAACATTTTAATCAAAACTTTCAATGAGGGACAGTCCTCCAAGATGGCATGCTGTACAGTGAGGGTGGTTATGGTGGTATTTGCTTCTCCTGCCAACAAACAGCTGAATTTGCTGCTAAAGCAGGTTTCTTGGCAGCCAGCTCCCTAGACTGAATAGGAGCAGCTTGGGTATGACCAGAGATGATTCTTAGATGACTGTGGACACTCCTGGGAAGAGGAATCCTGAATGTTGCAATTTCTGGTAAGAACAGTCAGAGTCTGGGTCCCCATCTTTCCTTTCAACTGTTGGGTTTTTAAAGCACACCCTGGCTTTTCCTGCATGTTTTAAAGTTCTTTTCTTTTAATTTGGTTCTTATTTTTAAACTTAACTGTCTGGTGAAGGCTGAATTACTCTAGTATCCTGCTGGATTTTAACCTTCTCTGGCTGTGAACTACTCTCACTTTCCATATGGAAGCTTACAGCAACTTTCTGAATAGTGAAACTGATCAGATTGGACTTATGTCTACAGTATATTGGATTTCATGACAGGATTTAACTCTTAAAAAGCTTTAGTTAGGATTTTAAAAAAATTGATGGAACTTTTCCTTTTTTTCTTCACACCTTCATTGAGAAATATCATTTTAATGTTCTTGGCAGCCATTTTGTTATGGTACATTTAAACTTTTTGTCTTGGAAAGGAATTTTCTTTGATTGTGTAAGCTGAGATACAGAAGAGTCTGCTTTATATTAAAAATGTGAACAATGCATCCATTTAAAGATAAAGCCTAGTGGGTTATCTTAAAAATACTTTTTAAATCTATAAATTCAAATTGAAAACTTGGTAAAAGCTTGATAAAAATATTTGGTTTTCAAATCAACCTAAAGAGGGTACCCAAATGCAAACAATTGGCCAGATCTACAGTTAGATGGACTGGAAATTAAGTCCTTGCTGGCAGATTTGAAGAAGGAGCAGTTTGGCTGAAAAACAGAAGTTCTGTTGCAGAAATTTGAAGAAGATCTGGATTTTACAGTCTTAGAATTGGCAGATTTGACTCTATTTTTTACAGAATTATATAAAAAACCACACAAGAAGATAAAATGGACTATGAGAATATTTGCATGACAGGAAATTTTAATGCAATTGTAAATCCAAAACTTGATTACAGAAGTAGTAAAAGAGGCAAAAAAGCAAGGAAGATTCTCCCTAGAACTTTCTTTAAAATGGCAGAAGTAATATGCATACAGGATGTATGGAGAGAAATAAATCCAGGGAAAAATTTGTATACATTCTATTAAAATAGGCACCAATCATGGTCTAGAATAGATATGATATGAATGTTGTTGGAATTAAGAGTAAATAGAAGAGAAAGAGATAAAAATGAACATATGGGTGGACCATATGGGTTGGAAGGGGCAAAAGAAAAAATGGAGATGGACATTGAACCAATCTATACTAAAAGATAAAGAGTTTATACAAACAACAGGAAAAGAAATTGAACTTTTCTTTAAAAAGAACAGGAAAGAAGAGACTTGACTAATAAATGTATGGGATACAGCCAAAGAATATTTCAGGGGATTAGCTACAACTTACATAGCAAGGAAAAATAAGGAAAATAAACAATATAAAAAACCACTAGAAGAAGAACATAGAAGACTTGAAGCAGAACTACAAAAAGAATCACAAATGGGAAACCTCAAAAAATCAAATGGAAATAATAAAACATACATTAAACTTGATGGAAAAAGAACTGGCACAAGAAATCAAAACAGCAAAACAAAACTTTTTTGAAAATGCCAATAAACCAGGAAGATGGCTACTGTATAAGCTGAAAAAGGAGAAAGAGAAAAAATTGATAAGCAAACTGCAAGATGAGAAGGGAACCTTAGAGTATCAAAATGAGAGTAAAAAGAAAATAATACAGGAGTTCTATAGAAAGCTATAAGACCAAGAAAAAAGTGTCAGAACAAAAAATAAAGCAATACCTAAAAAAATCGGAACTACCCAAAGCAGCGGTCACCAACTGGTGGGCCGTGGCCCACTGGTGGGCCATGAGAAAATTTTGGTGGGCCGCGAGAAAATTTTGGTGGAATGCATTGAAATCTCATCCCCAGAGCACCCCCCAAAGCAATTAATCCAGGCTGCACAGAAACACAAGCCTGTGCCACCCACATGGTCCACAGGAACCCTCCCCGCCCATTCAATCCTTACCCAGTAAACTTGCCTGCTAAATTTCTATTTTTCCTTTTTCCAACCATCATCTCTTCTGCTGTGCCGGGAGATTTAGATTAGCTAGGAAGCAGAAAACGGTTGAATTTCTTGCTTTCTAGCTAGCCTTTAGATCTTCAGCTCTGCTTTTAAGCACAGCCGAATGTCCCTTAGGACTGAAGGTTTCCTTGCAAGCAAATTCAGTGCAGACTCACGGCAAGCAAATTTGAGAGACTGAGTTAGCTGATGGCAGATAGATAGATCACTGAATGATTCTGTGAGCAACTCAATCTGCCTGATTTTGGGTAAAAATTGCTCTTTTAAAAAAAATAAAAAAATCAATATTTACATGCATGGTGTGTTGTGAGTTAACTTTGTGAGTTTGCTTGCTAGCAAATTTTATGTGACAGACTGAGCTAGCCAATGGCAGATAGATCTCTGAATGAATCTGTGATTCTGTGAGCAACTCAATCTGCCTGCCTGCTTTGCCTGATTTTGGGTAAAAGTTGCTCTTTTTTTATAAAAAAACCCAATATTTACATAAATATTTATAATATTTACATACAAGCCATGCCCAGCCAGTCACATGATCACCAAGCCACACCCACAAATTAGGCCATGCCCACAGAATCGGTTAGTGTTCCCTGGGATCTAAAATTATGAGTTTGGTGGTCCCTGAGGTCCAAAAGGTTGGCAACCCCTGACCCAAAGTGCCTGAAATGGTGAAAACTATGTTAAATGAAAGAATAACCATGGTGGAGCTAACAGAGGCAATTAAAAGACAAAAGAATAAGTCACCAGGAACAGATGGTCTACCAGCAGAAGTCTATAAACATTTACAAGTTACATTAAGCCTACCAATTATTGAGAATTATTGAGTCTATCATCTGCACCTCTATAACTGTCTGGTTTGGTTCTGCAACCCAACAGGACAGACACAGACTTCAGAGGATAATTAGGACTGCAGAAAAACAATTACTATCAACCTGCCTTCAATCAAGGACCTGTATATTGCCAAAAAGAGGACTGAGTCAAAAAGAGGACTATGAAAATATTTACACACCCCGCACATCCTGGACATAAACTGTTTCAACTCCTTTCCTCAAAACGACACTATAGAGCACTGCACACCAGAACAATTAGACACAAGGACAATTTTTCCCCGAATGCCATCACTCTGCTAAACAAACATTTCCCTGTCCAACTATTTACAAAGTACACTATTACTATTAGTCTTCTCATCATTCCTTATCACCCATCCCCTCCCACTTCATCTGTTATTAATTCTTTGTATTTTATTGTTTTGTTCAGATCCATAACATTGAGATATACTAGTGCCTCCACTGGAGATAGCCAGAGAGGTATTTTCACATAATGGTTTCTTTTAATTCTTTCCCATATATATAACGAAGTATCCCTTATCCAGTGTCTTTGAAAGTAGCTATGGGTTTTATTTTTTCCATCCCAGAGAAATGTGTGTCAGCCAATCTGTAAATTGAAGCCTTCTATTGTCAGTATTCTTTTATCCTCCAAGTTAATCCAATCTTTGATCCAGGTACTCGCTGCAGCTTGATAGTATAACTCAAAGTCTGGGAGCGCCAATCCTCCCTTACTTCTACTATCTTGCATTAATTTGTATTTTACTCTAGCTTTTTTCTTTTGCCAAATAAATTTACTAATTCTTTTGTTCAGGTCTTTGAAGAATTTTTCCCTAGTTGTGTCAAACTCTTTTTCATTGAGGGCCAAATTAGGATCAGGATTAGGATTAGGATCAGGAGGAAGGGACAAGGGGATGGCAAAAGGAAGAAGGGCTGCTGGTGGCCAAGTGCTAAGGCAGGATTTCCTTCAGACCCCCACTCTCTCTCATTACAATCTTCCTTCCTTCCTTCCTTCCTTCCTTCCTTCCTTCCTTCCTTCCTT